ATCCCGCTTATTTTGGCAAAGTAAAAACTAAGCGAGACGCGAGAAAGAGGAAAAATGGTAGAAATGCGATCAAAGAAAGATTGAAAAAAATATTTAGTACAGATGCCTATATCGATTATCTTGATACATACTCAGCATGTTGTAGCTAGGACGTGTATTCTGAAATAACATATATTCTTAAATTACATTCTTCTGAAGTCTATAAGCCTTCTCCTTTTCATATTTCCCCATCTATACTTTTCTTGCTAACATATCCATGATCTCACGCCATGGACCTACTTTAAGTCACATTAACTCACGAAGAAGAAAAGTCTCTCCAGGATCAATTGGAACTAAATACAATGAAGGAAATATAGAATGAAAGAAACTTGTAGGCAACCTGGACGATGGAAAAAATATATATAGATCCTCTGTGATTTACCGCACCATTTCGCTCGACCACCCGCCTACTATTATTATGACCTAGAGTGTTGTGCGACTTAAATTACCATTGCACATGCAGAAGTACGGCCGTATGCGTCGTAGTGACATTGATTCGAGACGCCTAATCGAGAAATTCTGGTCAACTGTGAGATTCTTCGATGATCGTCGCCAGTGTGCAATTCATGGAACGAAATTCTAAGGCTCTTAAAATGAGTTACTCAATATTTCTTCTCGTTTATTCAAATAACCAGAAGTGCTTCGGCCGCTCCAGATACTTCAACTCAACGAGGCCATATAGGCAGTAGTTTCGATAGGTCTACGATGCGTCGCATGTACTTCTCAAGAATGAAGATTCAGTGTCGGCGGATGCGATTACAAGGTCCATTAGCGACAACTGATGACTCATGTCGTACAACTTTGGCTTGATTAATTCATTGTACTAAGTAGCATAATGTAGAACGCAAAGAATCTAGATACTAAGTCGCTTACGGTAAATTATAATTATTTTCGTTCCTTTACGCAGCTTTCCTAAATACAATGGTGAATATAAGGAATTATCTTGCCGTCTGATCGCTTAATTTTAGTCGGAAGTTGTGGTTTAGTGATCACTCTGAACCTATAGATATAGATAGAGATAAAACTATACAAAGAATCACATCTCGTATACGAGCGTTCTTAACGTACAGAAAGCATTTAATTGTTGTAGACGATATTGTTTTATCTCCGAAAATTCATTGGCAGATGATAAACATGAGATATCATTCCTGGAACGAGGTCGCTCACCTATTTATAACTGGGTCAAGAGTTGGGCAATCATTTTGATATATCTCTCTCTCTCTCTTTCTCTCTCTCCCCGCTTCCCTCTCCTCTATCTCTTTCTTTCTTTCTCTTTTTCTTATTCTTTCTCACAGTAACCATGTTCTCGATCCCGACTTCTCTCGGGGATCAAGATCCCCTCTGTACCCAAGAACGAATGTCGCCTTGAGCGAAATCACACACCTGACGCGGCCTGTAACCTGGCGGGTTCTTTAAAACAAGCTTCAAGTAAAACGAACAAAATATTGAACAGAAAATCTTGCCTATGTCTTTTAAATAAAAGCAAATGCTCTTATATCCTTGATACTTAACTGGATCGAAAAATAATCGACGTCCTCATTAACGATTCATTTATCTGGTAATATATGAATAAATGAATAAATGAATCGGTGTTCATACTCTTGTTATATCAATATTATACTGGTATTATACTTATAACACTGAAAACTGTTGTTTATAATGGAATGATTTTAACACATTTTTATCAGTACGCTTTATTTTCGTCTTTATAGCATTAAAACGGGGAAATTGACTGAAAAGAGAAATCTTTATTAAAGGTTCTTCAGAACATGCTACAGGGGAGACAGAGAGATCAATGCTGGGCGAGCACAAAGAGAGCATCGAGAACAAGTGATGAGAGAAACCGGGCTCGAATATCGCAACGCTTCTGCGATACTAATTAGTCAGCCGCCGAAAGCAATTAAGCACGAGAGCAGCAATTAGATTGCGTTATAGCAGATATATCCATTCTGTACGACTACGTGACCCTGGCTGTAAATCGTTGAAAGTCATGGGAAAGGTAACGGTCGCTTAGCAATTGTTTCGAAATCATGGCGCTCGGTTAAGTTCAAGTTGTATATATCAGCCAGCATCTTAGCTAATGCATAAATGCCTGGGCCATTGAATTCAGACGTAACACCAATATATCTTATACATACTATGTATCGAGATTTCAGACTGTCTAAGCTGCCAAGTAAAAGTACTTTTCACGAGTATCTTACGTGAGAATCTGTCAAATTAAATACATAATAATAAAAAATCGGAAAATAAATAAAGCATGTGAATTTCGACTCGCAAATTTGGAAGATTGAATGAATTTTACTTATAAATAAGTAGAATATATGAATAATATTTGACAAAATATAGACTTTATTATATATTTCTGATATTATAAATAAATAAAGTATATCTAAGAATAAATGATTCAAAATTTTAAATTGCTAAATGTCTCATCATTGTTAATGAAGAAAAGTGTTTGAATTGCTACACAAAATGATAAAAAGATCATTCTACGCCAATTGACAACACGATGATATGCACACCTAATAATGACCTAGCAAATCGACCTATTACTAAGAAATCTAGTAACCCAGTGACGCATGAGAAACTCTCGAAACTAATCGTGACGTGAGAATCATACCTGGATTTAGATGCGAGTAAAGATGCGATCGACGGAACTTTACGACTCTCTAATAATAAGACGATGAACATTTGGCGCTATCAATACGGAGAAATTACGCTTTTGTGAGCTCAAAGAACGATTTTATTCATCCGCTTGCTTAACGCGGGCCACAATGCTAAGTTTCATAAAATTTGTTTGTTCATTCCACATCACTTCGCATTACATGGTACAGAAGAAATACTATAATATTTTCTATTTTCAAAATATTACATATACTACTATATTTGCGATGTATGATACTTTATGATACTTTAAATAAATAATTGAATAAAATTCTAAGTGACTATCTGAAACAAATAAATTACTAATTATATAAAAATATAAGTATGAATATACAGTAAAATAAGTTTATATTATTATAATAAGCAAGAATCCTATAAATTAAATAATTTAAATTTGAAAGAATATCTTTTATTACAACGTACAAATAATATAGAGGCTTAAGTACAGTAGTATATAAGTACATGATGTACATAGTATACATATCTTGAATATAAAATACAAAAAATGTAAAGCAATAAATAGCTTGAAATTGTTAGGAAAAAAGATACTTGTTCCAATCTCAGTGATATTAATACAACGTTGCACTTGGTTATATTATGAACGAAAGTAATTCCTCTTCCTCTCGAAGCAATTCCGCGTCTTTTTTCTCGTTGTTCTTCCAGCAGTCCGTCGTCGTAGTCGTTGTGTTACAGAGGAGTGTAATGATGCATGACAATCGCTTTTTTTGCATTGCCTCCTCTTCGTGCCATCCTTATATCTCATGCTATGTTTCGTACAAATAATATGTTTTTTACCATATTTTATTCACTTGCAAATCTAATATATTTTCTATTTAGCTATATTATGCTTTTTGCTTAAAGAAAATTATTTACGGGCTATTATCGCGATGTCTATTGAGTCGTCTATACACTGGTTAAAAGAATCACAGGTTTTACTTTACTTCCAAAAATTACTATTAATTGCTTTCTTTTCTTTTTCGATGACAATCATATTTTTCCAGTATATGTAAATACTAATTCAATCTCCACATCTTCGTAATCCAACGTATCATTCTAGAAAATATGACTTTATACGAGTACGTACCTGGACATATCTATAATGTATTGTCGAAGTAAAATTCTTTTTATTGCATCAAGTGAGGTTTTAGCATAGTGCGAGAAAGAAACACGCTATTTTGCCTCAACCTCCTTTCCAGCTAGTTATTTTTCTTCTATGTGGGACTTAAGGACATCCGTTTCGAGAGATTTAGTTGTATGCCTATCCTCTCGACCCGATTAGGACGTGCCGCGACCTCTTCTCGACCTCTGGCCATCATGGGCCGAGAAAACAATTGACTCTGCCCGGATGCACCTGAGACATGCACTTTCCCCTACAATCGTCCGAGAATGCCGAGAGTCAGCCGGCATTTCCATCTCATCGGCTCAGTTTCGAGTGGCCGCTGGCCGGATGACTCGTCAAGGAAGCAGAACACTCGCGATGTATTAACGATTTCGAATGTGCTCTTTATGCAACGCGGCCGCGGCGCAGTTTCGCTCGTGAGAAAAAAAAAGAATGTTTCGGACCTTCCTGGAAGACTGGAAAGTTGCCGCTGCTGTCGCGATGATTTCTCTTTTTTGAAGCTTCTCTCTACCGGCTTATGAACGATTTTCGTATTCAGCATTAAAAAAATAAAATTACAAAAAGGGCTTCTTAAAATTAGTGGAGTTGACGAATCAAAATTGATTATCATTTTAAGATTGAAGCACTTTCACTATTATGTTACAGAAATATCTCATCTAAAAGAAAAAGAAAATATTTCTTTTAAATGAAAATGCATGTTTGGAAAAATAAATATACATTCGAATTTTTTAAATACTATTAATGAATTACATATTACAAATTCGTAGCATTTATAGTTTAATACGTTGCATTTGGACTAGATGTAACTATTGAATTATGAATCACGTACGTTTATTATCACGTTTATTATCACGCTAAAACTTATGCAGAAATCGCCAAGTCGTAATACATACGTGATATCATATTTCGTAATTAACAAGTTACATCTTCACCAATCATACATATTATGACTAGCTTTACAATTTGATTATTTATTGATCTATTTTGCACATGCGGACGAAGTATTGTTATATATTTAATGTACATCACGGAAAGGCCAGAGATGGCCTATTTATTATTTAATGATAATTAATAAAATAAATAAAAATAAATATCTTCATGATTATATGAATAAAAATCAACGTGAGGCTTAAAACTCATCTGCTTCCATTCCGACATCTCTTCCCTCTGGCCGTTGATTATAATAAAAGAAAGAAACAAAAGAAGAAAATATCAACGATCATTAATGATGATATCCATATGCTTGGCTGTGCGCGTAATGAGAATCTTCCCAACCGGAAGAACCACCATTGCTCCATCCACCAGATACGGAATTGGACCATCCACTGTTAACGGGACTTGACCATCCACTGCTGACAGGACTTGAAAATCCACCACTCCAGCCACCATTGTAAGGAGTGACATCGTGATGGTAGTTTTTGCCTGACCAGAATGTTTTTATACCGACGAAAGCAGAGATGAGGAGAGAAATGATGGACGCTTGGATCGCCTTTTTCGCTAAGAATCCGGTGACAAAGTATAAGAGAACTCCCAAAATACCAAACTTTATTTTTGCGGCAACCAGAAGGGGTAAGAGTCCTTTTAGAAATCCTTTTTTCTTGCCTCGCGCTAGAATTTTAGAAAAGATTTATTAATTTAAGATCAATCAAATTAAATTATTCTTTTAAATGATTGTAAAACACGTAATGTCAATTTAATTTTATACAAATAGAAATAAAATTAATATGAAAATTATTAGAAATAATTTATTAATTCTAATACTACCTTCAACAACCTCGTTGACAGCTTGACGAATTTCTGGTGGAGCAGATTCACTGAAGACACGAGCCGATTCTTGGATTTTCTCAAAAGCAGATGCAAGATTGATCTGAAAAAAATTGGTGGTTTGTGTTCAACCACATTGTATTTCTGAATATAAGATGCTAAGAGAGATAAAAAAGTTTACATTAATTTATAAATCATTAAAGTGACATTAAACCATTACATTAAGATGCATTTCATATTTCCCGAGTGATTCCTATGTATCATTTTATCATTGTTTAATATCGATAAACAACAATGTAAATTTATAAGTTTTAGTAATTTTTTAAGTACCCTAAGATTGCGACCGGTCAAAAATTGCCCAGCTTCATCGCTAATGAAGTTTTCGAGAGAATTTTGTCTTTCCACGATATTATTAGCGGCCTCCATCTCTTGATCATAAGTAAGTTCCTTGATAGATCTGGCATTGACATTATTCTTCACGAGATTGACTCCGTTTATAAGTTCTAATTTATCCTTGGCAAAGAATTCTTTGGCGGTCCTATATAGAGTCTTCTGCACGCAGGATATGCTGTCTTGCTTCAGGCACTCGTCGATACTCTGACCAGTGGTAAAAACGACCGCAGTTATCAAAATTATGAATTGCTTCAGTAGTTTCATGACTTGTTGCGAATTCCACGAGGCGTGTGATAAAAGCACCTGATTGCAGCACAGCGCGTTTATAGGAAATATAAAAAATTCGTAGATACTAATGGATCTACGAAGTTAGAATTCACAGAAAATAAACTTCGTTGTGTGGAGTCAAATTTCGTGTGGTCCATGAGACAATCCGTTAGCTTATATCTGGTGGGCCCCTCCTTTAGGTGTGAATTTCCATCACCGACTGCCCCACCGACTTCTTTTTTTTTCTATTTGGCATACATGAATACATGTTCATCCAATAGACGAAGTATACTTATGACAGAGATTCGACTAAGCCATCTATTACGACCTGCGACCTACCTATGACAAAACAAATAGAGGCTGGGCATATAGGTATTATAAGGGGCAAGGCCTTGAGCGCTAGTAAAATCGCTTTCTTTCAACAACGATCTTCTTAAGTATACCGGAATAACTTTACATTGCATTACAGGATATACAATTTTTAATTGATTGTATTGGATGTAGAATATTAAGAATTTCGACCAAATGCGAATATAATATATAATAGAATGTAAAAATAGACTACATAATTATGTAATATCACATTACTAATAAATTACTTCAACGTTATGATTATGTAAAAAATTATGCATGGAATATAAAATATTTCTATTTTTATACATAAGCATGTGTACAGTACTTATTTTTTTAACTTTATTTGTTACTTAATTTTTAATCTTTAATTCCATTGAATTGAATTTTGTAAATTAATATATAAGTTTAACATTATTCGCATTTCATATAAGAAATATTTTAATATAAATATATATAATAATATAAAACCACAAATAATTTAGTATTTTCTCAATAATATTTGTTTTTGACACTTTACTAAATTTTTTTAATTTTATGAAACATGTATATATGTATGATAATTACTTTTAATAATGTAAATATTTAATTCATGCACATATTGTGTAAAAAACGATAAATTATTAATTTTTAAAGGTAGGCTTATGTTTGCTCGAATTCAACAATGTATGTTTCTAGTTTGTCCTTATTATTTTACATATTTACATACTTAAAATTAGAGAACGGATGAGACCTGAATTTTAAGAATGTGTTAAATTTTATGTAAATAAACTCTAGAGAAAGTTCTTTCAACAATCTCTTAAACTCCAGCTTTAATTCTAATTGACTTCGGTAAATCTGATCTATCCTGATTTATATTAACATTGCTTTGGTTCATTATTATTCATTATTATCTTCAATACCAAAACAATGAAATTTAATAAGAAATGACAGTTACACATACCTATTTATTTAAACTACGGATATTATTTCAATTGAGCATAAAATGTATATGAATTACGAAGATATTGAAAAATTTAATTGCCTGTCTTGTCATAATGCATTATTTTATTATTTTTAATTTCTGCAAATAGTATAAGTTATGTTAAATAAGCTTATGTAATAGTCTATTGCATTGTATTTTCCAATAAAGAAAAAAGAAAAATGATAGTAAATGATATACGAATAACATAATCTTTACGTCTGATTAAATCTTATACTCTTACTACTGAAAACTTCATTTGTAAAATTAGTACATACCGCTATACGAGACTCGAATAAACTCGTGTAAGCAAATGGTAATATAACTAGCGATACTCAATTAGTTTTTTAGCGATGAACTATCATTGCAATTCAAGGAAAAGAGTCTGCAATACTCTCTTTTCGGACATAAAATCCTTTTATGTGAGCCATTCGGCGTTTAAGGAGCAGATACGAGACATGATCGATATGAATGAAAGAAAACTGGTATAGATCAGGTTCAAACATCCCGGATCCGACCTTCATTGCAGCATATGTGGACACCACTTTCTAGTGTGACCCTGCAACTCTCACGGGCCAATGGATAACACTTCTTGTCATTTTCATTTCGTTTCTTCTTACCGGAAGTATAAAGCAGTACAATGCGACAATCAAGAAAATCTTCACATTCAGTAAGCGTATATGTGCGGCGTAGGTTTAAATTCCGAGAAAGTAAAACCAATGATCTATATAGGACTAGATCTAGAAGACTGTAAGACTATTAATGCGAGAACGCATACTTTCATATTAATTAAAAGTTCCAATTTGCGGAAATAATTAAATAATTAAAAATAATAATTAAAAATATATGTAAGATATAAAATGTTTATTTACATCTTGGAAAGACAGCAACATATTTAACAGGAATTAGACTTTTTTATTTAGAAAGTATTATATTAGACGTTTTCTATAGAAAGTGCGTTCTCTCTCTCTCTCTCTCTCTCTCTCTCTCTCTCTCTCTCTCTTTCTACTTTTTTTATTCTTAAATAAGTTAAAGACATGTGACTTAGAACTGAGATGAGAAACGCTCCACATATTTTTATAGTAAACGACCTAATATTATGGAAAAGATAAACATCATCCGATTATAAATTTGCAAGACTTTCTAACATAGATTTTTTTATCTTTTAACATTACACATTACAATCATTACTTTCCTTTATCATTTACAAGTTCAATAAAATAAGATTATAAAGTGGAAGAGAGGAAGTGAAAAAATTGCATTTATTATACATTGTACATTTTACGTCCATTCTCTACCATTACTAAAGACCGCACGAGTCTCTCTGTTAATTTATGTACATAATCACTATGGAATAAAGAAGGAGCACTCTTGTCTTGAATTCGGTCAACAAATTCTCTCATCATAAGAAGGGATTCAATGAAAAGCAAGTGCAACAACAACACAGTTCTCATTCCCGATCTTACGTCAATGCTCATTCATTCTTTCTCGGTCATTGGGTAGCACTCAGAATCCTTTCGTCAATCCTTCACTCCCAACAGAAGAGCAGCCTTAAAAAGTAAAACCAAAGTTTCTCCTGTACATACAACGACAACAGTGATCGTTAAACCACAGGCACGCCCATCGCGGTAAAATCACTATCCTTTACGCGGGAATACAATGTTGTAGATGCGATGTATGATTTCGTTCAGTGAAAAGCAGATTGAAAATGGATATTTCAATTAAACAGATTACATATACTCTCGCTAATAACTCTCGCTCTTACACACAAATTTATTAAGTGATTATTATTGAAAAAATTTACTTGATTAACTTTTTTTTAAAATATTAAAGTATCAACAAAATATGTTAAATAACATATTGCATATGTAAGAGATAGAATTGGTATAATTTCTTCTGATTAAAATCAATTATATCAATTATATATTATAAAAAAGATATTTTATAAAAAAGAAAACTTATATTCAAATTTATCGGTTCTCCCAATTTTCTCTCAATTTCATTTTCACAACAATAAATAATATTTGTTTTATATTAGAACAATTGTTAATTATAATTTTACAATTATTAGAGAATAGTTAGAATATTATTAATTTCTTAATTTTCGTAGCTTTTCTTGATAAAGTCTTATCTGAGAAAAAGTTTAATCTATATTTTTTAATTACTTTTTTATAAAGAATTACCCCCTTTTCAAGTGTATTATCAGTTTATATGTAAATGTCTACATATTAAGGTCACCGACTTTTGGAGGTCATAGTATTTTTCCAGATCAATATGCCAATGAAACAAAATGTTCCCACGGTATCTAGAGAATCACTCAAAAAGCGTATCGATTTAGGACAGCAGTGTCCATAAAAGCGTATCTAGCAATCGTGTTGCGTTTCCTGTCCTAAATCGGAAAGAACTAGTGGTTCGATATTCTAGCCTTCGAACTTGTCAGTAACTGGTTTAATGTCTGTCAATCGATTGTGCTAGGAATTTCTGATGCAATGTTCAATCAATTCCATTGGCCATCGACATGCGTACGACCTGAAAAATCAACCGGTAGCCAACCAGATCAAATTTGAATTTTAAATTTCTTTACGAAGTTTGTAATGAGTATGGAATGTAACGGGGCACTCTTCCGCGCCCAACTGGTTCTTCTCATCTATGGACCATAACGCGATTGCTGTGCCAGAAACTGTGCCAGTAATTCTTTCCATATTGAACATTATAAGCAATAGATTACAAATCAGCTCTATACACACACACACACACACACACACACACACACACACACACACACACACACACACACACACACATATATGTATAATATTATTAGACTATTTTAATTAATAATAAACATTAAAAACCATCTAAGTCATTTCTATTATAGTTCAGCATTAATAAAGGTACAACAGAAGGGTTGAACAAAATAAATAATAATCCGAATGATAATAGATATATTGCCCATTCATTCCTTTGTACAGAGTTATAAAAGTTAACTAAAACTAAAGGAAAGACAAATCGTTCATTTCCATCACCGCGTTGACAGTAACTGCAATTGATTACTGCTTTCAATCTTATTAAATATAATGAACTTGATTTGATCGTAATTAGTGAGTATAACACGCCATCTTCATTCTTTCTAATCACTAGAAAAGTAATGCAATGGATATAGGTAGAAAATTAAGCATGAAGATGTACATTTACAGAATACAATTAAATGATGAAATTCGTAAAAAATTTGATTTGAATAATCGAATTATGAATTAATTGATCCGACATTCCACATAAGTGTGGATATAGCGATCACAGACTGTAGACGCTGAGAAGCGATCGGTTCTGTTCGAGACTGCATCGCTGTCTGAGCTGCTTTCAGTGCGAATCTCCACGTTTTATGATATTCGAAACGTAAAAAAGGAAACGATTGGTATGTATGCCAGTAGGTCTTAGCCGGAGCTCTTCCTTCCCCTACTACGCCACGTGGAGAAAGAAGGAGCTGAGGACTACAGTGGGAGGAATCCAATACAGATAGAGAAGACGCGGCATAGAGAGATGCGTAAAGAGAAAGAGGATCCGTTCCTCTTACACTCGAGCCTTTCTTCCATTATGCCTCTTCTCTACCTCTTTCTCCTTCGCTTTTTTTTCCTCCAACCGAGCTCTCCAATCCGCTTTGGGCATGGATCCACGTGCACGCGCG